CAATCTCAACTATATAATGAAACCCTGTCTCAAAAAAATAACAACAACAACAAAAAAAGTTCATTGATATGATTTTAATTTCCATATAGCAACTAGCCATTAAGAAATTACAACTTGTAGTGTTAAAGTAGTGTAGCATCAAAGAAGAATGCCGTAAAGCTATTCAATTCCCCTTTCCTTTTCCAGCTAAATATCACAGGCCAATTTTTCTTCATGTATTTCAACCTAAACAACATATCATGGTAGATGTAAAGAAGAGATAGAAATGAGGATATAGTGCATCATTTTAAGTGTAAAATAACTCTACACCTCATTAAATTTTTTCTTTAGAAAATATAATCATTTACATAAAATATTTTAAAAGGTGAATATGAAATAGGTTTTATCATTTAAATGAGTTAATAGATAACAATTTTTCAGTTTTAATTTCTAATAGGATAAATATTAGTAGATATAGCCCCGATAAATAAAAGGTCTTTGGAGTCTTTGACAATTTTTAAGCACATAAAGGGACCTTGCTATCAACCTGTTTGAGAACTGCTGGTATAGCAGGTACTTAGATGTTTAACACAGGGATGTAACTTTACACTCGCAATGATGTAAAGGAAAAGAGCAGGATACTAAGAGATATGATTTCAGTGGGAGATGGAGGCGAAGCTGGCTCCTCTGAAGAGGTGGCTTTAAGCTGATGTCTGAAGAGAGGGAAGGGATGACGGTCACCACGGAGTGCAGGAATAGCAGCAACGGGGGCCCTAGCACGAGGACAAGTGTGGCCTGAGTGGAGCTCGGTGGTGGGAGGACTGATCTGAAGTGTCCGCCATGGTGTCCGCCATGAGGTGGGCTAACCCTGAGGCTCTTGCAAAGATTTTGGTCATTTTATCCCACAGGAATCGAAATGACCGTATTATTACTCATGCTAATAAAATCAGACCTGAATTTCTAAATAATCATTGATTGCTCTGTGGAAAATGAGAGAAGGTGGGAGAAGTCATCGATTGGGTATTGTAATAAATCCAGACGAGAAGCCATGGTACTTCCACAGGGAGGGGCCCGCGCGTCCAGCTCTCGGGGCTACCATTTGCCTTTCCTGCCAGCTGGCTGGAGGGAGAGCAGGTAACGATTCCCAAATTAGAGCAGTGCTCCCGAAATGCTTAGGGACATCAGTCTTGACCACCACGAGATTAATGATCTACTGCAGTTTGTACTTATTTTATATTTTTGTATTTGTGTTGGGGGGGTGAGATGACATTGTCCACGTTTACTCAGATGATTACATTTAGTAATGAGAATGAAGCAGTCACGCTCACAGCACCACCCTGTGGAGAGTGTGAAAAGGGCTTCTGGTTGGGTTCAGTCACGACAACGGCAGCAGCAACACAACGGCAGCAGCAACAGCAACACAACACAAACCCAAAAAACAAAAAACCAGGAGAAGTTCTCCAGAAGGTTTACCAGCTACCAGCCACCCCAGCCCCTTCTTGGAAAGAGATGAATGTGACTACGTTAAATAAGTTAAAATTAACCTGGATATCCTGAAAAAATAATGTGAAATTAATTCAAACTTGATTATCTCTGATTTTTAATATAATCATACCTTTGGAAGAAACAAAGAGATAATAGCACAAAACTTTCTTTTTAATAAACTAAGAGAAACCAGTAGTATGAATGAAACAAATTAGCATATCTTCTATGTCTTGTACTCTCTGAAACTGCTTTGAAGAAAGTGATATACTGTATATTGGCTATTGTTATTCTCTTATTATTTTGATAGGAAATTTTGTCTTAATTTTTCATAAAATAAAAAATACTTTTTAGATAGGTCCTGATAATACCTTTTGTTTTTATGCCAAAATATGCTTCTTCAATCCGTTTGACGTTTATTTCCATGAGAACAGGGTAAACACTTTTGTATAGATATCCAGCTTGGTAGAAATGGATTTAATTCCTCAGGCTTACCTAGAACCATACCCCCCAAGAGCGGGCTTTTCTGCCCTCATCTGAGCCTGGTTTCTTTTTTCCTTTTGCACTTTCTTTTGTGCAGGTGTCATCTGTGTCCCTCACATGATTCCTCTAGCTAGTCATTCTGGTTTTGTTGCTCCGGATTTCTCAGGAGGCCTCTGCCCATTGCAAGACCAGCGTTTCCAGTTATTGGGAAGTTTCTCTTGTGTGAAACAGACCCCGATCTCAAATCCCTAAGGCACATTAGGCTGGAATGTTTAACATCATCATTTAAGCACAATACAGTCACAATGTAAGAAAACCCAGAATATTTTACTTCTCCTGTTCATATCTCTCCTATGAGAGGTCCTTTAGCCCTGTCCGACATCTTGTGGTTGTTTACACACTTGGCTCGTCCACAATGCTGGTTCAGGCCCTGTGCATGGCCTCCAGCCCTGACAGATGAGGTTGGCGTAGACAGAGATTTTCCTGCCTCTGCCCAGCTTACCCGCTTTTCCCCAGGATGATTGGTAGGTGAAGTCCTGTCCTCTATGTAGGATACGGTTCCCACGCAGAGCTCAGTTCTGGTTTTCCTTCTGTGTGCCTGGATGTTCCCTCTTTAACCTTCTCTCCAGGCTCAAAGGACTCCACTTGACCTCAGCAGTGGAATTCCTTGGGTCAGTGTCAGGCGCAGCTCTTTTCTTGCTTCTTATTTTCTGTAGGTGGCTTTATCCCAGCCCTTCCTATGACTTGCATCTGTGGTTCCCAAGTATTGTATGTCTCTCCTTTGATTTCCAGGCCTTTATTTTCATCTACTCTTTGATCTCTCCACTGAAATATTTCATATTAAAGATTTGAACTCCAAATGTGGCGTTCCTTTCAGTGATCCTATCGTCAGTGTAGCACAACTTTCTGCCAGTTATCAAATGAGAACCCGGCCATCGTTCTTGAGCCTGGCTGACCCTCATCGCCCTCTCCCGAAGTCTGTCTCAGCCTTCTGTGTTTTACCCACTGAGTAGTGTCTGTGAATAACCCCTTCAGTCTACCATACCTGCCACTGCTCGACTCTGACCATCCCTTCCTTGCTGGTAGCACTGTGAGGGTAACCCCGCCAGTCTCTGCATTGACTCTGTTTTCTATATTGGGTTCGTTTGTTTCAAAATTCATATCAGGCTAGGCTTTTCAAAATCTTTCCAAACTTCTCATCCCCACAATCCAGAGGGCTTGGGGAAGGCCCTCGCCAGTCCCTCTAGTGGCTTCTCAACTGTCCTTCATCTGTCCTCCGCACTCTGGGCCACTGGCTTTGTTTCCTAAGTGCCACAGTGCTCACCCTCCTCCACCCACCTGGCTCTCTGTTACTTCACCTTAGCTGTCCCTTCCTCAAAGATGCCTTCTCCTGATCTTCCAGTGCCTGTTATAAGACCGACACATCAAAAATCTTTTCTCTCTGGACACTTACCTCACTTGTCACATTTGTATTCATTACCGTGTTTTTTAAAAAGTCAATCCATCTTCTCAGAAGGGTCTTCATTCCATGAAAGGAGGGAAGGGTGTGTGTGCTTTTGCTCACTATTTTTCCCCAGCATCCAGCAGAGTGCCAGGTACATAGAGGATGCTAATAAATATTGAATGAATGATCACTTTCCTAAGACCCTGACCTGGCCGTTGCAGCAGTTTGACCATATAGTTTGTTACTCACGTGAGGGTATATTAAGGTGCAGGTGTGAGTGAAGTTGCACATGATCTGGACATTGCAACATGGCCATCCCACCCAGGCTTTCCATCAGTCAACTCCAAAAGAGGTATTTAGGAAGAAATAACTCAAAGTACATAAAACGGAGATGGGTCTGCACCTCAGGAAAAGCACAATATGTCAAAGACTAAGACAAGATAAGGGTCAGTAGAGATTCACTTGTCTGACATAAAATGTCAACTGAAAACACCAACAATAGGTATTATAATAATTAACAATCTAAGCCAAACTGGCTTCCTCTTCTGGCATAATTTATTACTCACCTTTGTGTTTTATTTTCTACCTGTTCCTTAAAACATTATTCTTGAGCCAAATGAAAATGCATTGGATAATACAGACAATAAATGTGGAAAAGTTGTTATTTGGAAACTCACCTTTGGTTTTCAAATTTTAAACCCCTAACGCTGTGAGTTGGCTGACCAGTGAGGGGTGGGGGAGACTGGCAGCAGAAATGTCTAGGTGGTTCCCATGTACGTCTTTTAGAAAGAATATACGTGTATTCTCTGTATTTCTTCAGATATACGTAGGCATTTAACAGAATTATTTTCCCTTTTGAATATGACATAAGAGACTATTTTTATATGGAATCTTCTTTCATTCCAGAATCAGATTTCTGCCTCAGTTTGCATTTGTTGATGTTATTTATGTGTAGTTTATGAAGAAGAAAAAAAGAAATGCAGCACTGAGGGGAAGAGTGTTTCCTTTTGCCTGTTCACCTTGACTACCACAATGTCAACGGCTCTAGCTGTTGGCTCCCCAGTAATAGTCCCGACTTCAAGCCCCAGGAAGCCCACTTACTGTGTTAAAGGCAAGAACTTCCTAATGTGGGCCTGTGAAATGTATCCTCAGAAAAAAATGCTACCCATCCCAGGAAGTCTTTGAGAAGGCATGAGTTCTTGCCATAACTAAAATCTGATGATGTATTATGGATAACTTTATTCCCACATGGAAGCTAGCTGCCTGTTTCCATAATCTTCATGGAGAATTTAACCAAGAAAAGACAAACTTGGAAATAACATGCAGAGAAGAGACTTCATTTTTTCTTTTGAATAAGATAAGGAGTCAGTTTAGGTGACTACAGAGGAGAAATCAAGTAGACCCTGGGCAAGGGTCTAGGCTTCTCCCACAACACTAACAGCGACTGCAGAATACCTGACAGGAAGGAAAACAAACAAAAACTTCTAGCAGTGGGTTTTGGTGGGGCTCATGAAAGAAGAATGTAGAGATTAAATATCCTCCTCCTGCACAACACTCTTGCAGCCCAACAGTCCTAACACTTGAAACCTTACTGTGAGTCTTAGTTTTGTCCTTAGATAAAGGGAAAAGTCCCATTCCAGTTGATAGTAGCCCCCCTCCACTTGGTTCTGATGGCCATCTCCACTGGGGAACAGCGTCGTCCTGGGCCATATTTAACTTCATGTTGGTCCGTTTCCCAGTGATGGGCGTGTGTATCTGGGGAAGGATCATGGTACATTTACACCCAAGCCTGGCACAACATTCCCGAGGAAGCCACAACAGAAAGAAGAAAGCAGGTAGGCAGGAGTTGCGCTCAGCAAACTGTAATCCTAGAACAGAGATCCCCGCACATGCGAAGTGAAGCGCCCCGTGTAAAAGGAGTGACAGCCTGGCTTGTTTGTGACTACTGATAAATCATCTAACGCACCTTATAGTACCATGATGTGACACAGAGGACCAGGTGTTGGCACAAGATGTCAGGAAAAACAAGGGAAGGGAAAGCCTCCACTTCCCAAGGCTTCTAAGAGTACATTTGCATTTTTGAGCGTAGTATGATGCGTTCTAGTGGGATAATTGAGCACAGGGCTGGAGGCCCAGGTTTGTTTCATACAAGCCAGGTGGCATTTGAGAAGGTACTTAGCAACTACCTTTCACTCCCACCATTAAGCCTGATTTATTCAATTGGTAACTGTTTACTGGGAGCCTCAGTTTCTACAGTGTAAAAATAGATACCATAGTACCTACTTCATATGATTCCTGGGAATTTTTTGTGTTAATGGGCATAAGGCCTTCCACACAGTGCCTGGAACAGAACATGTGGGAGGACGGTGAGCATATAAAAAAGAATGCTTTCCTCAAAGGACAAAGTTGAAGTAGAAATGGTAATATACCTTAAGGAATATTTTTTCAATGTCATATTGAGAACGACAACACTCTGAAAAAAGAGATCGAAGAAGATATAAGAAAATGGACCCCAGCATGGTTGTGGGGTTAAAGGAACCCTTCTCCAATGTTGGTGGGAGTGCAGATTGGTGCAACCACTGTGGCAATCAATATGGAGGTACCTCAAACAACTAGGATTAGAAGTCCCATTTGACCCTGCTGGGTATCTATCCAAAAGAATGAAAAGAATCATACCACAGTGATATATGCTCACCCCATGGTTATAGCAGTGCAGTTTGTGATAGTTAAAACTTAGAAACAGCCCAACTTCCCATCAGTTAGAGACTGGATAAAGAAGATGTATGTTTCAATATGGAGGTACCTCAAACAACTAGGATTAGAAGTCCCATTTGACCCTGCTGGGTATCTATCCAAAAGAATGAAAAGAATCATACCACAGTGATATATGCTCACCCCATGGTTATAGCAGTGCAGTTTGTGATAGTTAAAACTTAGAAACAGCCCAACTTCCCATCAGTTAGAGACTGGATAAAGAAGATGTATGTTTTTATATATAAGTACTACTCAGCCAAAAAGAATGAGAAACTAGAGATATTTATCGCTAAGTGGATGAATATTGAGGTCATACTCTTAAGTGAAATTAATAGAACACACACGTGTAAATACCAAATAGTTTCTCTGGTATGAAAAACTAAAAGTGTAAATAAGGATCAAAATGTATAGTTGATATTGTATAATAGGAAGAAAAGGTCTAAAGGTGTAGGGGAATTGGGAAGGGTAGGGGAAAGGTAAGAAGGAACAAGAAAAAATATGAGAAAAGCAAAAACATGGAAACAAAATCTTTGTAAATAGGGAAGGGTAGAGGAGGAGTGAAGGGAGGGCAGGGGTACGGGGAAAAAATAAGAACCAAGATGCGTCATGTAAACGTACAAGAGCCCAATGATGAATGTAACTGTACTGTGTACCTAAAATGTACCCATAAACTTAATGGAAAAATAAATATATAAAAATTAAGGGGGCTGATATGTATTTCTCATAATTGAAAAATATTTAAAAGGAGCTGCACAGATAAAATAGTCACTGAGATACTTTTCCAAATGCAGTGAGAATAGCAGAGGTTATGTAACACCAGGCTTGTGATGCTAAATGCAAGTTAGACAGTAACCAGGCTCCTTTATGGGAGGAACCAAAGCCACCAGGTACAAACTACCAATCTGTCCACTTTTAATACCTTGCCAAAGGGACCCATGTTTAAAGACATCTTAAGTTTGAATTTTATTTTCTCTTACTCATGAGTTTTAAAACTGTGATTGTAACTGAAGTGAAATAAACTATTGGCTGTCTGCTGCTGCCACTGGCCTGGGACCTTCCAAAGATTTGCTTGGACTGTGCTTTATTCAGTGTGGCTTCTCCAGGGTTTTAGTCCATGGTAGACAATTTAAAAATTTTTTTATACTAACTAGAGAAGAAATGGGCACTCTTATCATGGGATGATAGTGTGGTATTTGGTTGTGGGGTAGAACTGGTCTATTGGCACTCCACGTCTCCCCTTTGGTTTTGTACACCTTTCTCCAGGCACTGAATACGCCCTGCTCAAACATAAAAGGCCTCTGAGAAGGCTTTCTGGAAATTCGTCTTCACCCTTTGTTTTCTCTTACCTAAAAGTTGTCTGTTTCTCTGTTATTTCTAACCCTCAGCCTGCTTTTTTTTTTTTTTTTTTAAGTAGGTTTAGTATTCCCACATTACAATGGCTGGGTTTAGAGCCGTGGGATTTAGATACGGGCTTCACTTCAGAAACCAAGCCCAAGCATTTTTCCTGCAGAGCTGGCAGCTGGTAACAGCAGTGGCAAGTCTCTGAGCACATTAAGACACGCAGTCTTGGAGGCTGAAATGCTCACCTATTGTAAGATGCACTGGCTTTCTCTGTGAGGGCTGGCCACTGAAAAAGTACAGATCAAAGCGACGCTCCATTTTCCAGTCTGATAAGAGCTGTCTGTTTGTGCAAAAAAGGATGCTGTAGTTTCCATTGATGTTGCACAGCCAAATAGGAAATTTAGGAGTCTTCAGCATGCTGCCAACCTGCAAGGGGAGAAGGGAAACAGAAATATATAGATTTTGCCACCTTGCAACAGAGGCTGATACATCATCGTGATCAAAAAGCAGCGCTGAGGCTTCTTATTGCCTGTGTAGCTGCATGGGACTGAGGGTAAGATTTGAAACAAAGGCCTCATCATAAGTGAATTTGTATTTATAAGTGGTGTGGTATAGCGGGGATGCTGTGTTTTTATCTCCTAAGGGATTATATTTTTAAAAATATTTGATGGCTTCATGGAGGGGGTAGAGAATTCTGTTGGGTTTTAAATTGAAGTAAATAAGTACATGGAAAGTCTAGGAATGAAATAATCCCCCTCTGCCATTGACTAGTGTATTTTCTCCTATTCCCAGGGTAGAGCGTATTTTATTTAGAAGGTGGTCAAACCGGCAACACTGTTTAAGCTATAGAAAAAAAAAGATATTTAGGACAAAGTTTCTGGGGAAGGAGGGGGAACAAGCATATATACACATATCTACAGTTAACAGATCAGTTGTGACAACACATTTGGAGGATACTGGCTTAATATTACACACAATACTAAGTTTAGTATTTTAATCAGCTTGTTGTCTATTTTTTCCTGGCAGCTATCACTTCATCCTTGAATTCTCACAGCGAGTAAATCAGCTATACTCTGGAGGGCCAGGGAGTACAAGGGCAGTGGCCCTGCATCAGTAGTCCTTGGAGGTATCATATTATAGTTCACTTCTTCCTTTCTACTTTAATGTTTTTGAGATGGGATCTTCCTAGTTACTCAGGCTGGCCTCAGATTCATGATCCTCCTGCCTCAGTCTCCCTAGTAGCGAGTGTACATGACCAGGCCTGGCATTATAATGTATTTCTATAAATGGCATCTAATCATTTTGTTTAAAGAGTCAGGAAAACACGTTTTGTTTTTTTTTTAAAAAGACTTGACACTTCATTAAAACATTTTTTCCTACTCAAAGAGATAAACATAAGTACATGGAAAATCCCATAATTTCTGCACCATGCCAAGAAATGCTACTGGACCCTTTGGCTTGTAGTTTCTTCCTATCAAGGAAGAATACAACATGGCTATTTTGTTTCTTGTCTTCTTAGTCCTTAGAGCTGTACTGTTTGTCCAGGAACAAATTCTATTTCACAGAAAACCTAGCTTTGAAGAATTATCACATGCTTTGTGAACCCAAGTGTTAAAAGCTAATAACTTGACATTTTGATTTCTCAATTTCTATTAAAATCTCTTCTTTTTCTTCAATTTAGATTCTTCAGCTATGGGTGAATGGGTAAATCAGAGGTGCTTCTGTCTTTAGCTCCATAGACAAATTATATTACTGTGCTTGCAAGAAATGATTTAGCCTTAGCAGGTAGTTTTTGAAAAGATGCAAGACCAGAAACTTATTCAGAATTTGATACTAGTGCATACACATCTAGAACCCTAGAGTTAGTCCTTCTTGGCCTAGGAAAGTCTGAGCATCTCATATATCAAACATGGGTCAAGTCTGCCTGCCAGCTGAGTATGAAGCAAAACAGGAGGCGCCCCTGAAGCAGCCCATGTATATAATAAGTTCCAGACATTCACCCGCAAGTTCCAAACAACATTGTAACCATTCACTGGCACAAACCCTTTCTTAGGCTTTCTCCTGATGGCACCCCTGTACTAAGATTATGATGTAATCAACATGCAATATGCCAGATATGCAATTATTAAGGTTGGAAAATTTGGATACACTAAGTAGGAGATTGAGGGCTGTCTGTAATAAGATGTGATTCTACTTGAACTTCAGGTGGATCTTCTGGCCAAATTTAAATCAATGAAAGTTCCTATAAATTAAATCTGGGTGGATGAAATAGAATGTACACATGTAAAATATTGTTTCACAGAATATTTTTCTTTTTTTTTTTTTTTTTTTTTTGGTACCAGGGATTGAACTCAGGTCCTTGCCCTTGCAAGGCAGGCCACCGAACCGCTGAACTAAATCCCCGGCCCATCACAGAATATTTGTAAAGTAGGCACAATTCAACTGACACTCAGACTCACGCTGTCTCCTAGGTGCTGATACCACACTACTGTTACTTTATGCAGTGATGAAACTGTTGTCTTTCCTGAATTCACAGTAGGAGGAAAATGAAATATTGGAAATACAAGCACCTCCAAGCCCCAGCAGTGCCCAGACAGATGTCACTCTGAGGCGGTGAGTGTTGCCTTCCTTGAGAGACTGTAGTGGAGAGGGAAATGTCATGCACGACTGTCTTGGCACTTTGGGTATTAAGTCTAGGAGATAAGCTTTGAGGTTATGGCTGAGAATCCATCTGGTCTAAAGTGAGTCCTACAAAAACAAAGCACAGTACCTTCCGACTGAATTTAGTCTGCTGTCACACTCCCCACTTTTCTTGGCACACCACAGAAGGAGTTTGACTGGAATATTCTGTTTTAAGAATTTGTATTGCTTTTGGATAGACACAGTTTACTAGCTCCCCTCCGAAAGCAGGATTCTAAATACGTTTTATTGGTGAGATTCCACCAATTTTGAATTTGTGCATGTTGCCATGGTAAAAAGGAAATTAAATTGTGATACAGTCATACTATAAATAAAATATCTCTCTCTTTGGGTTCGCTCATTGTGTAATAAGCTCAATTTCAGTACTGCACGCAGCAAGCAAGCCTTTCATAACATATATCCTTTGAGTCATTTAAAATTAGAAGGACTGGAAGAATGGACAACTTCTACACACTAGAGGGCAGGAACTGAGTCCATGTTATTCTTTTTTGTTTGTTTTATGCTGTCTAGAACAATGGCACTTAGAACGTGCCTTTGCATAATGAGCTTGATATGGCAAATCTCAGGGCCCCAGGCTGGTAATCTGAATGGGAGAAAGGTGTTGGAAACGTGTACTTTTCTTCCCCAAGTTCTGGTGACAATTACCACACGTGCCTGTTAATGGTCTGGCTCTTGTCTCCACCACCTGGAACAGAAGTTGATGCAACTTCTCCCACCGAGTTCGCAGGTACGTTGTAAAGACAAAAGAGATCACGCTCCCGGGGTGCATTCTCAGTGACTTTGTGGCAGAGTGCAGTAAGTGAAGCTTCATTTTGTACTTGTAAGGTTCCTATCAGGCTCTGCACCGGGGAAATGTAAAAAGGGAAGAAGGCACCATGGGGTTGGAGGTACATGCTACCAGAGCTGCCGTGGGAGTGATTCTGGCGAGACCTAAATGGCTTCAGTCCCTTCTAAAAATCAGAGTTGATTTCTCTTCTCAGTGGCAGGTGTGAAGATAATGTGAACCTCCTAAGGCTTTCCAGATGGTGTTAGACTCAGACTGCTTTATGTTCTCACTTAGGTATTGGAACCTCACACTCAAACCTGTACCTTCAAATAGAAAAGTAACAGGGAGGCTTCAAAACAGTGCCTCGTCTTGCAGGTAGCTCGCTGTGTCCTGCAGGAACTGTCAGTCTAGTGGGCTCTGGGGGGCTTGCTTATGTCATCTAATGAGAACTCCGTCTTCCTTTTCTTTAAAATCTCACCCACAGGGCTGTGACCCTGGGACTGAAAGAAGTGTGTTTTTGCAGCCTCGGCAATTTTATCACAGAATAAAAAGAGAATGACTTAGGAAAGACAAAAGCAGCCTTGCAGGATAGGTTTCCCCTCAACAACACAAACTAGCTGTCAGGCAGTGCGTACCACAGCTTTTCTTTTGAATTCAGAAACCTTTCTTATGTTAGATTTTTATTACCAGTGCATGCATATACTATTTAGGCTTATCATACCCACCCTAGGAACTAAATACCCATAACCACCTATCTACAGCTATCTGTAGAACCTATATAGTACCACTCTGCCTTGGACTAGAGAGAAGGGTAGGGACTGCACAAGGTCTCCAGTTCAGCCATATGGAAAGCACTGTTCTGGAACCACATTGTGTTTATTCTCGAGGGATCTTGTAACCCATGAGGTTTCTCAATTTTATACTAGGAGTGTGGAATATTAGACTTCTGGGTCAACTGCAGACCAGTCAGGTAATTCTTCTGCTTTGCCCATCTGTAAGCCCCACTGAGCTTGTACTAAGGTTGAAAGTTTCACACGCCTGACAGATGTCACCTGCCAAGGGGAGAGTGTGTCCTAGGTACCCACAGTTCACAATCAGTGTAAACTCACAACTGCTTTAACCTGCAATTCAATGGATAAAGTCCTAGTTTGTTAAACCTAGTTTGTCTAAAACCTACCCATAATTTGCCAGCACCTAAATGCTAAGGCTCAACATTAGTTTACCTACAACAGATAGTACAGATTATACAATATAAATCCATATCTATAGTAGATGATTAAAGAGCTAATGATAGAACATAATTCCAGGAACTAGTGCTTATATATTAATAATTTATCAGAAAGCGAGCAAAGATGTGACCAGCAGCACAACACAGTGCACAGTATGTGAATTTTGAGTGTGGGGAGAACTGGGCTCATGACCCCGGCTCCAACACTTACCTACATGGTGGCTTTGAGCAGATTCCGACACCTGCTCTGTCTGATCTTTTTATCTTTAAAATCAATGACCATGCAACAGACTGGATTGAAAGGAACACTGCTTATAACTTTGAGTGGAGCTGAGGATTAAATATGACATTGCAAGTGAATAACAGAAAACCCTGGCCCATGTGTGCTTTCCACACAAGGCATATTAGCACTACAGTGAATGAAAAACCTTCACATGTACACTTGCCTTAATTACCATCCATTAGGGATGGTGAGAAACAATATAGATGTGTATTTGTATACAATTAGAAACTGCTTTCATCCCTTGAGATGGGTTAGGGTTTAGGGATTGCCTTTATCCCAAAATAATGAACTGATATGGAAAGAATAAAAAAGTGTCTTCAGTTAAAAATCAGTTTTACCTGAGTGTGTTTAACATATTCATATGTCTCAGGAGTTCAAGTAAGAAAATTAACCGTCAGCTTGGAGTTGCTCTTTAGTATTCTTTTTTCTGAAACCAAAATCCAAGTGCAGGACAGAGACAACACAATAAATGGCCTCAGGGTTTCAAGCCATTAGTATATGATTTCAGTCAATTTTCACTGAGGTCAAGATTCATAGGCATCTCCCTGGGGAGAGAGTATTGTGTTCAAGAAAGAAGGATGAAAGGCCATATTAGTTACTTCCCCCCAAAGCTGGAAGCAATGTAAGTTTTATTTCAGTGTAGATTTTAAAGCCACCTGGGCAGTTTCCATCTTCTGCCCTACTTCCGCTCGGTGAGCAACCCTTTGGGTGGTGTTCATGTGGGCTGATGTAGGCTGCTCTTCTTAGCAGGAAGTTTTTATTTTTTGCCTTGTATTTGTGGCCTCTTGACTAACTCTAAGGTTCTGGCAAAGATCCTCTTTATTGTTACAGGATATCTTAGACTGCAGGTAATTTTCTTTAGAGCATAATTTAGCAGTTTGTTGGTAAATGTTAAGTCTTGCAAATGTTAAAAGGGACTAAAAAGCTGTCAGCCTTTCTGATACTGATTGAAAGAAGGAAAACTCTTTCTTAGCGTTTAGTTGAGAGACGCTTCCCCAGTTCTGCACATCACGGATTTAATCAGCTCAGAGTAGAGATTTAATTTCCTCCTTTCTTTAGAACAGTGATCCTCAAGCACTTAGTAAATAATTTTTAGCACGGTGGGACCCTGGGCGACAGCATGTCCCACACTCACGAAGCTGGCATATAATATTCAAAATTCTCCAGGTAGGTTCGGTGTGCAGCGAGGTAGACATCACCGCTTTGCAGATGTGTCATCTCCCTCTACAGCAGTCAGTGCACGTTCAGGTATGGGTTCTCTTTATAGCTGGACACACAGGTGCTGGGTGAACATAGCTGAATAATGCACTGGAATATTATTCCTTCTTATCGTCAATAAGCCTTCTATGTGTATAGAATATTTTGGGTGTCCGAAGGGCTCCAGCATTCACGATTTTGCTTGCTCTGCACCTCAGTCCTGTGATTGCAGGGCTGGTGCACACAGATGAGGAAACAGGCTCAGAGAAGAAAAGTGATCCACTCCTGGAGTGGCAGGGCAAGGCCTCCAGCCAAATCTGCTGATTTCCAAGCCAGGGTTATTTCCCACAGGCTGAAAGAACCTCTGTCCCTGTGCATCACATTTCCAAATGTGGGGTGCGCGCCTGCTGGTGGCATGGGGAATAAACTTTAAAAAGCAATGTTTACTCACTTACTGTGTATTATTTTTAAAAAGTAGTTAGCACAGCAAGCACATGGTTTATGTCACGGCTCTAGAAAAAGGTAGGTCCAAATTTTAAACATGAACTGAGTTTTTAAAAATGACAATCAAGTAATAGCAGAGGTGATGCAGAGACCTGACAAAACCTGGAAAGTATTTAATAATGTTGTGAATAATAATGTTGTGAAAGAGCTTTGGAGGAATAGACAAAGCAATAAAACTATTGCCATTTTGTGCCCCCGTCCCTTGAAACTTGGCTCAAGGTGTTCCTTCCTTTATCTCTAAACTGAAAGTTGCCATATTATTGGGCTAACAGAATGTAGACCAGGTACAGTTGAAAGGAAAAAAATCTGTAAAATGAAATCTATAAATCTCCTATTTCTGGCTTTATTTTCTTCTTTATTATATTTATGAAACTCTAAAATGATTTCCCAAATTTTCTGTAAAAAGGTGATTAGGGAGTTTTTAACAATAACCTATGCATTTTCTCTCCAGGATGTATTCAGAGCACAGACGTTCACATTTGTAGGATGGAACTCTTTGCATCCATTAAATGCAACCGAGGTCAGGTACTCATTGACATATAAAGATATTTGTGTTGAATGTGAAAAGGAGGCTTCAATAGAGTAGAATAGGAACTTTATATAAAAAAGAAAAGAAGACATTTCTGAAAAGATTGACTGCTGAGTGATGTGATTGGATGAATTTCTTTCACATTATCTGTCACTTCTCTCTTTTTTTGTATGACAAACGTAGATTACAAATTCAAGAAACAATAAGGAAACATTTATGTATTTACTTTTTGCATTACTGGGGATTAAACCCAGGACCTCTGGCATGCTAGGCAAGCTCTCTATCACTGAACTATATCCCCGTTCCTCCTCATTGTTTTCATGTATAAGACTGGATGTTTCTGCAAATGGGAAGGGGACCAGGAGATAGAGGAAAGGGAGAGGGAGCAGAGGAAAAGGGGAAGCAAAAAATATTAGGATGCGGTAAGTACATGCACCAGCTCTCCACGATGAATGCAATCATTATGTACTGCAAATGTATACTAATAAAAGTAAAAAATACTTTTAAAAGACAGGTTTTTGCTAAGTTTTTCAAGTTTTGACGAAACTGGGGGTGATCCTCCTGTCTCAGCCTCCCTACTATCTGGAATTACAGGAATGTGTTACTATGCCCAGCGAATCAGGAAACATTTAAAATACTGCACACAAAATGCATCCATTCTGCCAGAGTGGGGCACTATTATCTCAGTGCCATTAGACATACATCTGAGATGCTGATTTTGGGAACAACACATAGCAGCAGACATTAGAGTAGGCTAGGAAAAGATGGCTACAGTTGTGGATATAAAGGTACTTTGTGAACAGTGAAGCCCTATACACACACAGAGGATATTTTGAGGTGGAACCAGGAGAGCTAAAGGAGCTTTAGGTGCTGAACAGTAGCCCCACCCTCCCGTGGTTGTTGGAGGTTAAGCAGAGGAGACACTATCTAGTGAATCTCAGGTGGTTTCAGAGCCACTCCCAAGAAGTGTGGCTTTCCACAGAATTGGCCTTGCGTTCCCTGGGTTTCAGGATGAAAACTTTTGTGAAAGCATACAGAAGCAGCTTTGCTTTGTGGTTTGGGGTGAATAGACTTGCTCTCTCACTTACCCTCCGGTTTGTTTTTGTGGGATCACATCTTACTTAATTCTTTGGTTGTGCCTTTCAACAGCACACTTTACTTTATGGTTGTCAGAGGTTATAAATCTCCTGAGCTGAAAATATAGTTGATAGAAGTTTACTAAGTGAGGTCCTCTTTTTTCATTATTCTTTTAAAAGCTCTCAGTGCTATGGAAAATATATGCATTAATTTGCATAAGTAAAGAATTGGGAGGATACCCATCAGCTGACTGTATTTATTTCTGAGAAGGAAATCTGTAGTTGCTTGGGGATGAAAGGGGACTTTCCTTTTATCTGTGTACTTCAGATACTGTTTTAAAAATGTTTTTACATATTATTTGTATTACCTATACTCTACATACATTAAATATATAAAGTTAAATATGAAGCAAATAAACATGGATATTTCTGTTTGGCCCCTGAATGTGGATGTGGGTTGTGTGTGTGTGTGTTTGTGTGTGTGTGCCTGTGTAACAGATTAGAAGTATGGAGAAAGGCAGTAAATAAACTAGGAGGCTCAGATTTAGATTTCCTTAATATAGCCTTTAAAAATGTCACAAATATTGACATTCTGGTTGTATAGTTGAGCGCCAGAGCACACTCACCTGTGAAAGTCTGTCATCCTCAGAGTTGTCCTGACCCCACTGCAAATAGCCAACATCACTGCGGGTCAGGATTCCATGTAATCTCTCCAGAGACTTTCCTTTCTCATAGCCATTGAAGACATTTGGACTTGCTCTTCCAGTTAAAATCATGTTTAGAACTGCCTAAGTGGCATATTTTAAAAATATTTAAATTTTAGGTAGCAATGAACAAGGACTTGTTTTCTTTTTAAAAATCATTAAAATGATCATTTTTTACTGAACAGAGAAATCATACAATACATAATTCTGAGAAAATATGTCTACAGCACTTGATAGAGTTAAAACAATAGTTTGTTGACTTCTTTGTTTTTTTTTTAACTTACCCTTGACCCCCCCTCTGATTTTATTGCCCTTCCTCCTTTGGCATTTCTTTTCAACACTGGTTTCCCCTGCTGTAATTTAAGCACAGAGCTAAGATAATGCTTTAGCACTTCTCTTTCAGATATTAGAGTTTCCTGTTGAGTTTTGTCAGGATATTTCCCAATGTTTCTAGACTATCAGGAATATGGGACTCTCAGAAGTAAATTAGAGAGGACTGTAATGAAAATTGGGAGGTAGATTCTAATAACTCAAAGTAGCATCTTCTTAATCTTTCAAAGATAACTCGACACTCTGTGCTGAAGGAGTGAATGTACTTACTTAGAAAACAATCCTAATTCAGATTCTACAATAGAAAGGCAGTCTTCCCACTCACCTGCTTGCAGAGGAAGCCTCCAGCATGTGTCTGTAACAGATGAGTGGTGGTGACATCCAGATCCTTCTGAAGCCTGCAGAATGGGAGAAGCCATCAGCGTCCATTCTGAGAAACAGGAATGTGGGTTCCTGGAGTCCCAGTTCCTCACACATGCCTTGTACATTTCCACAAGGACTCAGGCTGCAGAAGTGATGGGGAAGCTATGGATGCCCATGGGGGAAGCATTGGTAAACGGTAAGGGAAAATATGCAAACATCTCACACTCTAGAATCCTGTGTATGGGCTCAGGTGAGACGCTAGGCTCACTAGGAGCTGTTGGCTCTGTGCGGCAGGGACTCTGGACTCAGAGTGGTGACTTACGACCACATAGAGAATGCTAGCCTAAGGCAGAGCTGAACACTGTTCACGTGGAAAACACCAGAGTGGGTATTGAGCCCACTTCTTGGCTGCAGAGGGCAGGAGTCAGAGGCTAGAGTCCTATCCTCAAATGTACAAGATCTAGGTGGAATGTGGCTCTTGTTGCACCCAGAAGGAGGTGCTGAGTGTGGATGTGGAAGCTATATATGTTCTTTTTGTCAGTATATGTTTGTGATCCATAATAATTACATTCAACTTAGAGAACTGGCACATGTACATATCACATCTTAATCACCTTTACTTCTTCACCTCTCTACCCTCCCATCATTTCCAATCCCCAGATCCCCTTCCTATATTCTGTATATGTTTTTGAATGAATCTATTCATCAGACTGGAGGTCATATTTTTTGTGAAAAATACCTAAGAACTTGAATCAGTTTTGGTACATGCCTTGGTGTTACCCAGTATAACTCAGGGCAGTGTTTTCCAAATTATGGCATGATTTTAGATGGATGGCATTTGTAAATTTGAATAGTGATATTTTTATTTTAGATGCATTTGATCTATTTATTAATGCTTAATAAGATATTCATGTATAGAATGTTAATGTTCAGAACAGGTTGATATTTAAATGTGTGTTGATTTAAAGAAAAATGTTGAGAAAATAATAACATAGACCATAAAAATATAATAGTGGTATATAAAAGACAAGTGTCAGGAACACTGCTTTGGGGCTTATAAATCTTCTTCCTGAGAGTCTTCTATCTTTTCTCTGATTCTCAAAGGGCACCCTTTCTTTCAGGGCACAGAAGAAAGTTCACTTCATTCAGGAAGCCTTCTCTGAATACCCTATCTGCTAAGAACCATCAATCCTCTGGAATCCACTAAGACTCTCTGTCTTTATATCACATATGGCAGGGCAGGCACCACCCACCTGGGACTTATCCAGTCTCTGTAAGTATATATTCTGTCTTTCCCAACTTGGAAAGTATGGAGGGGTTAATCAGAGTCATATCTTCTCTATTTATACTTCCTACAGTGCTAAGAACAGGGCTTTCCACATAATAGAGGCAAAATAAATATTTGAGGATATATTTTATTGTGGATCTAAATAATAAAATTTATTTATTTGATTTGAAATCTGCTTGCCCATCCATATGGCCAAGCCACCTATAGAATAAGACTTATCAACAGAAGAGCATCCACCAAAAAAACAAAAACAAAAACTCCGGGAGATGAGAAAATTTTCCAACCCAAGAGTATATCATTCATGTGATCTCAATCCTGTAGGAAATACCTGCACAAATATGTGTAGAATTTACCTCTCAAATGTTCTGGAGAAGATCAGGCTATAAAGAAACAGGATGACGCCATGGCTTCCTTCCCCTTTAAACTGTTTAGGAAACAAAAGAAAATCACTTTTGTTTAAGGGCAATGTGTATATGTATATTGTTGGGTATGAATTCCCAAGGTACACAGTCTGGGAGAAGTCCTCACCCCCCCCCAGTTGCTAAGAGGACAAGTCTCTCTCCGCCTCCTTACATCATCTTCTTCACTCTCAACTGTACCTTCCTTCCTTGTTTCAAGCTTACCAATCATTCTCTTAGTCTTGAACTTCTACCCTAAGGGTGGGTAGTTTGGATAGAATATAAAAGACAGAAAGAGGGCTTATCATTGCTTGCTGCTTCCTTGCTGCTTTGCTGCTTTTCTGCCTTCTGCCTGCCATGAACTGTTTTTCCTCTACAATGCCCCTCTACCACGCCAGCCTGCCTCGGAGCCACCTGATTATGGATTGAAATCTATATAAATTGTGAAATCTATGCACATTTCCTCATTTAACTTTTGGAGTTGGGTAGTTTGTCTCAACAACAAGGAAAAGTAATTAAGATAAGGAGGCTGTAGGGGATATTAGTTTCTGGGCCTTTTCCAGCTTCTAGAATCATCCTTATCCCTTGGCTCACATTTCCCCATAATCTAGCATTTTCTCCCTCTGCCTTTCTCATCACACCTCCTTCTCTAGTTTTCTTGCCACATTCTTTCCCTTATAAGGATTCCTATGATTAATTAGGCCCATCTTTATAATCCAGAGTAATTTCTGCATTTCAAGATCCCATCTACAAAATCCCAGGTGACTTTCATATCTATAGGCTGCTGGGGTTAGGATGTGAATCTCTTAGACTACACAATTTATCTAATGGGTGTAGCTGTCTTCTGCCTCTCAGCTAATTGAGGACATGGGAGAATATATGCCCAGGGTGGCCAGATGTAAAAGCCCCAAATCCAATTTTTTATGTGGAATTTTCTGACACCCACTGATTCAAATATTAGGAAACACAACCCTATGTGAACTAATGCTATAAATAATATATAGTATAGCAGATATCTGAATTATTTAAAACAATCAGAATTTATTCTCTTAAGTGGTGGAGGCTAGAAGCCTAGAATCCAAGTTTCAGAGTGGGGCTACGCTCCCTCTGCAGGCCCTAAGGAAGACCCTTCATGCATCTTCCCAACTTCTGCTGGTTGCAGACAATCCTTGGCATTCCTTGGCTTATAGAAACATCACTCCAGTGTCTGCCTGGGTTTTCCCATGCTGTTCTTCCCATCTCTCTCTATCCAAATTATTCCTCTTATACAGATTCCAGCTGTTAGATTAGTCCATTCTAACTCAATTTGACTTCATTTTGGCTTGATTATATCTGTAAAGAGCCTATTTTCAAATAAGATCACATTTACAGGTACTTCAGGTAGGATTTCGACATATATTTTTGAGGGGACACAATTCAGCTGGTCTCCCACTCACAAGTAGCCCTCAGACCTAGCTTGAAATCTCTACCTAAATAGCATGGGAACACAGGACCAATACATTTTGATAGTAAGTGGAGTTCAGTTAAGGGATGTTGATCACAACATGCACCCCCAGCTAGGGGTGATGCTTCTGAGAGGAATACATATGCTATTAAGCTACCTCTTACTCACCAAAAAGAGCTAAATTTTCCCTGGTGAAGCTAAGGTGGTGGGCAGCTTGGTTTGGCTTGACACAGATGGCTCTTATGCCAGCCCACCTGCAATGCAGAGTGCACTTCTGCTTGGGAACTTCACTTTATCCCAGCTCTACTCAATCTTTGGATTAGCCCATGTATAGCTTCAGCTCTCATTTCAACTATGGCTACACTTAAGAATCCCTTGCAGGTCTGGGATTCCTTCCTACTGAGTCAAACACTCTCAGGTTTCAGTGGAGGAGATAGAAGACAGAGAGGTTTATCTTTTTTTGCTGAAAGGGTCATCTCCTAAATGGATCCTTCGTATATGTATAATTAAATTAAATTATTAAGTAATTTAATTAAATAAAATCTTTCCTATAAGTTTCATTACTTTTGTACTGTTGCTAAAACAAATTACCATAAATTTAATTGCTTAAATTGGTGCTGGAGGTGTAGCTCAGTAATAGGTCAATAGATCATGTATAGTATTTAGTATATGTGAGGCAGGAGGTTGTGGATTCAATTTCTAGCCCAAAAAGAAAACCCAGATAAAAGACACTTCAAAAAACTTAAATAATATACATAGTGTTGTCTTACAGTTCTGGAGGTTAAAAGCCCAAAATGCGTCATATTGAGCTAAAACCAAGATGTCAGCCAGACAGCATTCTTTCTTGAGACTATGGGAAGAAGGTGTTTCCAGGTTCTTTCTACACAAGGAGGAAAGCCCTTTCCTACATTACCTGGTTTATGCCCCCACTTCCATCTTCAAAGCCAGCAATAGCAAGTGATACTCTTATCACACATTCCTCTGACTTTCTCTGCTGCCTTTGCTTTCCACAGTTTGGGACCTTTCAGATTATACTGGGACCATCTGGATGATTCAGTCTCATCCCCCTATTTTAAAGTCACCGACTAGCAGTCTATTTCTCCCTTGCCATGTAATGTAGCATATTCACAGTTCTTGGGGGAGGGTATGGATGTCTTTGGAATGCCATTCTTCTGCCCGTCACATAGGTTAACAACAGACTACAAGAAGGCAGGGGAAGCATGCCTGGGAAAACACTTGTTTAACCAAGATTATATAGCTAGTGTGTGGCTGAGAACTCATGTCAAGGTTTTCTGCCTCTGTAGCCTTTGAAAGCAATGAACTAGTGAATTCCATTGATCACACTTCCCATTTTCATTTACTCTAAATTTGTATGGCTTCGTGATTATCCTGCTAATTATCCTTTAGTTTCGCGGGTAGGTTTCTGATTCTTCAGAAAATCAGCTTTGATTTCTTTCCCTGCAGATGAGCCTTTTAAAAGCACCTTCCATTCCCTAACATTACTGCTTGTTACTTTGTCCCCTCCCCAGCCTGGAGTGGGAAAGCATCAGTGCAGGGGTAGACAGAGTATGGAAAGTGCTATTAGAAGAGGTGAAACAGGGCCAGTCTTTTCAGGCTAGAAGTCATTCACTTGAAGTCAGCGTGAATGGTCTTTCTGGCAGCTTAGACAAGGGCTTCAGTTTTCTACCATTTTTGTTTTTTATCCATTAGATGAGGCAAGTCTCATTTAAGATTTTCACTTTCCACAAAAGAGATCCTGGTATATGCCCTCTAAAGTATTATTTTCTGGGGTTGATTAGCCAAGGAAAAAGAGGCATTTGTAACTGGGTCTCTGTGTGATCTGGCCTCTTTCTAGGTTGTAGGGAAGGAGAGGCGGACTTCTTTCTCTTGTTCCGCCCTTTCTTAGCCCTCAAATTGACCTGGTTTTCTTAACAAGCATCATTAGAAATACACTTCATAAAAGAAAGAAGATTCCTGTAAGATCAGTTCAACATAAAGGAATTATCTCAACATTTAAACACTTACACATTGTAAATGATCATAGATGAATTTCTCAGTGGCTTCTCTCTCTGAAAATTCAAACAGCTGGAGCTATAAATCAGGAATAGAGATAAAAATGAAAAGGAAGATGAAAGGTAACTCTAAGAGATGTCAACTCACTGTTATTACCTCATGGGAGCTTTTTGTTTCATTACAAAATCACATTGCTAAAAACTGACACATTATCTTACACAAAGCCGTGTAAAACATACATGGTAAAATTAGGTGGCTACCAGCATCAGCTTTATACTCTTCAGTTTGAAGTCATTGTGATATTTTAAGGCATGAAACCACAAACAGATTTTTTTCCCCAGATAGGTACAGTTTGGTTGTCTTTTTTTTTTTTTTTTTTTTTTTTTTTTTTTTTTT